AGCAGGCCGAATTTTCAGATTCTTAGTTTTTTCAGTTTCTTTAGCGGGAACGGCAAATTCGCGTGTGGAATGATAAATGTTCGTGTAGCAGTTATTTTTTTCATACCATTTTCATATCTTCCAATGCTTTTCCAGATCGATATCTGAATATTTTCCCGCCCGCTCTTTACTATCGGCATTCTTCAACAATCTAAAATATGAAAGAGGTAAATCCAAAATAATAATTGGCAGTGCCAAGTATTGATTTTAGACAAAAGAAAGCTTCAATTACCAAAATATAAAGTTAAAAATGCATTAAAATATTGTTTTCCTTAGGTTTCGACGCGACGCGAAACTTCCAAAAGTCAGAAAGTATAGTGATTCGTATATGCCAATCATTATGTTGTCAAACAAGTTAAAGTATAAGTAAAAATATAATAAATATATCTTATTTAAAAAAGAGCCGTGGTAGCTCAGATGGTTAGCGCTCGCTGTATATTTCACAGTACGCGAGCAAACCGGGTTCGATCCCCGCCGCCAGCAATGAAACCAATTAAAAGACCAAAAGATGCAAGCAAGAGACCAAGTTAAAGTATAGTCATTTATTTGCACCAATAAAAAAGCCGATGCATCTTTTTCACAATGATAAAGTAACTTTTAATATGATTTAATGAGGTAAAGTCATAATAAAAATAGATAGAAACTTGAATATAAACTTACCTAAAATTACTTTTTTTGTCACAAAATCTAACCACGGAACCTTCACTTTTCGTTAAATTTTAACAGACTCTTCCAAACACATTTTAAAAACAGCCGTTATAGGAAGATAGTTAACGGTGGAAATATAAATGTGTGTTGCTAGTACTATAAGAAATTGTATCCTAGCAATTAATGTGTTGTTAAAATACAAATTAACGAAAACATTCTTAATATTCAGATTAAAATACCAAAATGCCAATCACTGGGGAAGTGACAACTGTTTACCCTATTTAAGTACAGGGTGGGCCAGAAAGACGAACGACTTTAATAATTGAATTGGTTCAGAACGAAAAACGTGTGGGGTGCGCGGGGACTGGGGTTGTGTTGATCGATTCACGGAAATTTAGACGCGACCTAATGTTACACGGGCGCACATGTTTTTTGCGTTAATATATTACAAAAATGGTGATTCCCGTAATTTTGCGTTAAAAATATTACAAAAATGGTGGTTCCCGTAACGTTAGTTCAAATTGCACAATAATAAATGTCCCAGTGAGAATATCCTTCGATCGTGGCTCATGAAGTTTGAATCCACCTGCTCCACGAAACCTGCGAGAAGCTTAAGCTTAACGAGAACACAAGAAGCAAAATTAATCAAGCTAATATTACCATACAACGCAATCCCGGACAATTAACTCGCTCGTAAGCGATCAGCTGAGCTCGCTAAATCACGGATCTTTGCGTCGCATATTAACGAAAGATCTTAAATTGCACTCCCTAAAAAATACATTTAGTACAGGAAGTGAAACCAAACGACCACAATTTAAGTTATACTTTTGTTGAAACAATGTTGGAGCGCTTCCGAAGTTTCAACAATATTCTCTTTTCCGACGATTTCACATAAATGGGCATGTGTAATAGACGGAAGTGTCGTTATCGGGCTACAAACAATCCAAAACTGAAACATAAGCCTTCGCATTCAACAGTCAGCACAAGGAATCATGGGACCTTTTTTTGAGGATATACGAGAGTAAGCAATAACCGTAAATTCCGACCGGTACACAAGCATGTATGTAACGTGATTTTTTTTATTGCCGAAACTGCATGACTTGGAAGTTAATAGTCATAATATCTGTTTTCAATAAGATCGCGCCACATGCCATACTTGTAATCATAGAATACTATAATACATACACAATAGCACGGGGGGGGGGGTTGCCCGCTTAGCCACTAACATGTGAATGCACACCTATAAACGTCAACACATTTTTTGACGTCACAGTCGTTGCCCAATTTCTGTGTCAAGCGTTGCTGGGTGCAATTTATTTCAAAAACGCCTATTTGTGCGATAATTACGTGTCGAAAAAACAGCCGGATGTGGAATTTGAATAAAAGTGGTATATCCTTTCACCAATTAGTCGAAACTATTTATAGTTTCTGAATATTAGAATCAAAAATTTAAGTGTTTTTTGTGTAAAAACAACAGTACTAGGGATGTAAAAAAAGATACTATGATACTACTGATACCGGTAAACAGGGAAATATTGTCGCTTTTAAAATTGTACTTGGTATAGAAACAAATTAGATATATGTGATCAAATACGGAGAAAAATAGTAATTTTGTTCCCAATTATAGGTATCATTGTAAATTTTCAATAAATTTCTTAGATTCAATTTTCTGGTTTCGTATCATTACTACATACTGTATGTTCACTTCACGTTCAATCACCCAAAAAGGGTTGGGTAGACCCATTTTATATTAAAAGTAAAAAAATATATTCCATAATAAGTATTTTCATACTTTTTGTTGTCTCGTGTTTGCTTACAAATACTGTACTATTTACTACCATTGGCACTTTTTAGATAAAAAGTTAGTTAAGTTACAGTCTATATAGGCCCCACTGCTGGGCACAGGTTTCCCCTCATTTCTTAGAGAGTTTTAGGGCAAGGAAGTGTCCGCCGCGCTGGCCCAATGCGTGTTGGCGAACTTCACATGTCTCCGAATTTTTTTCTTATTTCTCAGACATGCAGGTTTTCTCACGATGTTTTCCTTCGCCGCCAAGCACGTGGTAAATCAGAACTTAAAATTGCAATTAACAATTCCATTGCTGCCGGCGGGGATCGAACCCGGTTTGCTCGCGTACTGTGAAATATACAGCGAGCGTTAACAATCTGAGCTACCACGGCTCTTTTTTAAATAAGATATATTTATTATACTTTTGTTTATATAAACCTTTTTTTACAGTTTTCCTGGAGATCCGATAGTAAAAGATATGGATATAAGCCACGGAAGGTTTAACTAATAATTTTTACATACGGACTTCTTATCCAAGCATCACAAAAGATATTTGACAGACAATGCAAATCCACGTAAAGAAATTGTACATAACATTAGCACCGTTACGTGTGATCCTGTGAAAAGGGTTAATTCAACATCTGAGAACGTGATGGCTCGAAAAAACGAGGCCAATGACAGCACTGAAGAAGAATATATAAGCTCAAAACGTGATAATCACACATAGGCTATACTAACTGTTTTCTTATTCTGATGATATTGTAGCAGTTTTTCATTGCCTGAAAACACGGATAAAACAACATTTTCTAAAAATGAATCCTAGCTAGATCGATTTATTTCCCCCAAAACCCTCTGAACACTAAACATTATGAAAATTATTGAAGCCGTTTCCGAGATTCCGATTATATATATAATCGGAATCTATATATCTATACATATCCCATCCATACCTATCCCGACCCATCATTTCTGAGAAATATCTAATGGACAGATGAGTCCAAATGTGATAAAGATGGTATAACCAATTACCACAACGGTCATTATTAAGCCCCGAAAGAACAGGGAAATCCCAATAAGAAGCGGATAAAGGGGTCACAAAGACGATTCAGCTTAAATGCTTGGATAAGCATAATATCGAACCGTTTGATTAAGCATCACTTTCTACCTAACAATTTAAATGGAGAACACTAAGAAAACTTTTTAAGACAAGATTTATCCGTGTTACTGGCTGATTTAGCACTCAATCAAATTAGAGACATGTGAATTTCGCATGACAGTTGCCCTGACATTACAGGAGAAACGTTATACAATGGATACAGCCAAGTGATAAATTTGACGCATGAGCATTGTTTTTTTTTAATACTATCTGTGAGCGTTCCATCTAAGTTTATAAGTTCCATTAGTATTGAACTACAGCTTGCTTAAACGCACAGACTAATATGATGTTAAGCACCTTAAACATGTTCGAAAACTTATTAGTTATATTATATTACAATTAAAAAAAAAAACAATATTTACTGCCATTGTATTTGCATAAATATATAAAAAAGGAAATTGTTAAAATTTTAATACATATTAATATTAAAATTTTAACAATTATAATATTATTATAATTTCTTTTTTTTTTAAATGATTGTGAACATCAATAGTCTAAAATGTGCAAATTCACTAAGTCTGTCAACACAGTTATTTCTTCTTTTCATTTTCAGAAAGAATGGTCTTTAAAGATTGGTTGAGAATCCATTGTTATTGCCTTGGAATAGTATGATTTTATGTAATATTTAAATGCGTTTGTTACATTTATTTATTGAAATTTGTATGACCAATGAGCGAGTTGGATTCCTAGTAGTGATAATACGACGTAACCGCTTCTATGTGTGCTCCCAGAGGCACAGGTTCTCATACAAAATAAGGTTGACAGCCATTCGATTGCGTATTATGGTATTCTATGCATGTACTCATGACTTATATATAGGCTGTCATCGACGACATGATCGAAAAAGTCATGTGCAGAGGTGATATTCCATGGCCTCGCAGAATGTAGAGATACCTGAGAAGTCTGGTTTACTGCAATAATCCAACCACTACTGTGTAGTTAAAGGCCAATATCCGGGAGAAATGGATTCATTTCCATGCACACTGTGCCACCGATTTTTTGTCAATTTAAAGACAAGGATCGAAGAGTGTTTGCAATGAGACGGATCACATCTGGATGATGTTATTTTCAAAAAATTATTTTGTCACATATTTTTTTATTTTAAATATATATATTTGTTTTATGATTTTATTATTTATCAGACTTTCTGGGCCATCCTGTATAATTATGTCATCTTAATATAATATTATAAAGATTATCACATTTTTATATAAATAAATACAGATACAGCGAAATTCTAAAGTAGTACATACAATATTTTTCCTCTGGATGGCAGTATTATTTATGGCACTTACACCTGCAGGCATAAAGATAAATACAGAAAGACTAACAATAAAGAAAAATAATTGCAAAATTTTGTTTTCCGCTTACATTTAAACGGTCCATGAAATGTGTACTGTTTTGTTCTAAAATAAGGCGCGTGTCTTGGTGGTGCTCAGACAGGACTTGCTATGAAGAAATAATTACTGATATAATATTATCAGTAGTTTCAAATGAACACAGTTAATTTGAAACTACTGATAATATTATAGGTCTCAAATTATCTGATTAAATTGCAGTTTTCTCTCTGTTTAATTTAATTAATTTTCCACAAGTATTCTAATACTTACTACCCTTATCGAAAATCAGGTTGGTAAAGGGGAACAATTTATAAAGAATAAGAAAATGGTATACAACCAGACTGAACAGAGTTATTTTACTTTAACAGTAACAATATTTGCCTTGCTTGTTAATGACATTACTAATATCTTAAAGCTACATTTCATGTTCACAAGTTGAATACAATCTGCTACATAATTGCAAAGTCAAAATTTACAGAAAGACCAAAAAATCCTGTCAAAAAATAGTAAAATATAAATTATAATAAATACCTTTGGACGCAGCGATGGAACTAAAATCGAGTTTATTCCTCCAAGTTTTACGTTGATTTTTAAGCACAAGTTGCTGAGTGTTTGTGGCGAAGTTTTGTTTACATTCTTGGCTTGCACACATTGCGTCGCCATCCCGAGAACGGTGTCACCAACGCGTTTCACTTCAGCTGTACAAAACAGAATGGGTTAATGTGCCATGTGCAAAAACTGTATGATAAAAGAATATCGAGCAGCTGTGCCCCCGAGCAGCCATAGACAGCTTATATATACACAACTGTGCTCGAGGTCCCTTTACGTAATAAAATCGGTAAGAGAATATTCGCCGCTAACCTAATGTACCGTGTAGTGTCTGACGGATGTAGAACATCCACTACCCCATATCATCCCGTGGGTATCGTAAGAGGCGACAGAGGGAAACTAATCAGTAGATGGGCAGCAGCATCTTCCTAATAACGTGTTAAAAACAAAAAAACTTCTGTTGCCAACCCCTTTGCCAAGCGTGGCAACTATGGCAAAAATACCCTCTATGAGGCAACCTATGTTCAACAGAGGAATTTAGTAGGCTGTAATGATAACGTTCAGCTAATGTAACTGACAAAAAAGGGATCAGTAAAGTTCAGCAGTCTACTTGTTGTGGGCTGTGATACAAAAATATGGCAATATTTCACCGTAAAAATATAGTCTAGCATAAATATGCGACAGTAGCCTAACGGCAGGACGCGAACCGCGATCTCAAAAGGCCGTAGGTTCGAATCCGCCATTCGACTATTGTCGTCAACCACTCTAACACAAGCATTTTAAGCTTACCAGGAGTGGTTGAAGGGAATATTAGTAATGTTAATTAATAGGATTACTAGTATTTCAAAAAAAGTAAAAATAAAATAAGAAAAAATTATTACATTAAAATAATATATGAGATTATATAGTATAGATAGGTCAATAATGCAATGGCTAAGCATTTGCTTGCAGCAACCACGACGACCGCGGGTTCGAATCCCACACAGAACAAACATTTGTATACCATACAAGTAAATGTTCCGAGTGTTTGTACATATGCCATTTATGTACGTAAAACGCCACCACGATAAATGAAAAAAAAAATGGTGTGTGGGTTAATTGGTTTAAAATAAAAACATATCGTATTCTTACTGCCTAAGCAGACTAAGTGTATATTTTGTCAACAAACATTACAAACAAATCAACATACTGTCAAAAGTAGTATTTACATATACACAACTCTGTTTCTGATTTAGTATCCGTAGAAAAAGTATTGAAACAGCAGCTTTCTAGCAACATTAACAGACAAAAGCTTTTGTAAATATGATGACAACACAATTGTTTCTATATTAATTACTCTGCAAATAATATAGGGTGTTTTTTTAAGAGCTTGAGAACTTTAAATAAGAATAAAAGACAGAAATATTGTTGTAATGATTTTTTTATTATAATCTGGTAGATAATTGCATGGCATATATTTTTTAAATATGATTTCCGGCATATGTCCGCCGCGGCTACGAGTTACATAGTCCATTCGATCATTCCAATTTATCACTACTTTTTCTAATAAATCAGGCCGTATAGCGTCAATGGTGGATTCAATATTGGCTTCCCATGTTCAAGAGTTGCTGGTTTGTCGGCATAATGACTGAACATAGCCCCATAAAAAGTAATCGAGAGGCGTTAAGTCGCACGAACGAGGGGGCCAGTTAACAGGACCACTTGTGGAAATAAAATTGTCACCAAATTTATTTTGCAATAAATTGTTGGTCAAGCGCGCTGTATGGCATGATGCGTAGTCTTGTTAGAACCAAACGTTGTCGATGTTTAGCTGATTAATTTTTGGAAACAAAAATCAGTCAGCATTCACCGTACGGCAGCTCCTTCCTCATTTCGAAAGAAATAATGACCGATGATGACGCCAGCGTGTAAACCGCACCAAACAGTCAATTTTAACGGATGTAATGGTGATTCGTTAATGGCACGAGGATTGTCTTCTCTCCATATACGGAAATTTTAATATTCACGAAGCCATTTAACCAGAAATGAGCTCAACACTAAACACGATTCTTCGATAAAAATGCTCGTCTTCGGCCAGTTTCAAATTAGCCCAATCTGCAAAAATGCGACGTAAACGATGATCATATCGCTTTAATTCTTGCACGAGCTGTAGTTTATAGGCACGTAAAATTTACCTACTTAAAATCCTTACGTAAAATTTTCCACGTATTTGAGGGACAAAGGCCAACAAGTTGAGAACGAATCGACATTTCGGTGTCTTCTTCAGCACTTCGCTCTACAGCAGCAATATTTTCTTCCGTACGCACATTTCCTTGTCTTGTTGATGGCTTTTAATCGAAAAGAGTATAATCAATGCGAAAACGATCAATAACTGCACGAAGCGCTTGTTCACTAGACCGATTGGCCGTAACATGGACGAAATGCTCAATGAGCTTCGCGAACAGACTTTTTTTAAAGTAAATTTCCACAATTTAGAAGCGTTGTTCTGGCGTTAAACGACTCATGAATAGCCAAACCTTACTGAAAAGAAGTGTAAACATAGTTTGACATTCTCAAATGTCAAGCCATAGACAACAACCATCGAAACTTCTCATGCAGCTAAAAAAACACCCAATACATTCAATCACCTTTTTTGCGCCTTTTTTGGATAGAAATCACAATACTGTTTCTGCTAAAAGGAACTACAGTGGATTTCATTTATTACGACCTTAGTTGTAGCGAACATTTACCTATAGCGACATTAAATCTAAGTCCCTTGAATTTAAAGCATACTTTAGTACCAAAATCATGTGGCTATAGCGACTTTGAATGTAACACCGAGTTCGGGTGTAGCGACTGTTTTTAATGAATCATTTGTAACAAATTCCTAGAAATCCCATACAGATATTGCGATCGGAATCAGCCACCAAAGACACAAATATTTCTTTCTTTCACAAACATTACTTATCTTTTGTTTACATCCACATAGATGGTCAGCAAGTGTGGAGACCTTTACCTTTTGTTTATAGATATCAGCTAACTAGGTAGGGAAGCGCGTACGTTTCGGAATTAAATTTATGGTTCAGTTACAAAGTGATATTCTGAGTAGCATTTTGAAATGTACCAGTGAATAACTAGGTGTGTCTGTATCTCTTTACCTTTGCCTGTAACGACTTCCGGATATAACGACGAAAATCGAGTGGTCCCTTCATCACCGTTATACCCGAAAACCACTGTATATGAATTTACCTGGTATTTGTAATACCGACCTTAACGACCATCCATACTTTGAGTTTAGGTAAAATTGTTTTACCTACTAGTTTCAGTCAAATAAAATTAAACCGACAAAACAAAACCAGAAATCAGTTTTGGCAGTAATTGTTTTCGTACCACCGCTACTATTTAAAGATAAAATCGACTCGAATCGACACTCGATCCAATAATCAGTCACGCGAGTGGTGGTGGTGTAGAAAAATCTACAGACAGCGAAATAAACAAGATGAGCAGTAGTGCCTTCCTAATAACAACAAGACAATAACAAAACTGTGGTTGGCAGCCCGCCTGCCAACGTGGCAGCTATGTTTGAACAGGCCCCTTATAAAGCAATCTAACGGGAGGCCTATGTTCATCAGTGGACTTTAACAGGTTATGATGGATGGATGAGTATTGAATAAAAGTAGTATGAAACAAGCCTTAAAAATTTTAAGTGCATGGTTTCATTTTTTACTATAAGCAAAACTGCTAAGTGACTGGAGGTTTGTGGTTATTACAAAATATTGAAAAATCTAGAACTAATGAGAGTATTTATTCCATCCATCGTTATAAATCTAAAAAAGAGAGACATTAATAAAATGTGAGCTCACCGGTTTGAGCCTAATAAAATTAACTAATGTTCATAGGAAAATAATCTAATTTTAGGCAAAACTACTGAAGTATCCATCACAGTAAAAAAATCCGAAAAATATAGGGGAAAGTCCGGTAACGCCGGACACTCGTATTATCTCAACAAGTTACCAAGTGAACGACTCAAGCCCGATTAAATTTTTTCGCAATTTTTAAAACGGATTCTGTATAGATTACGTAATTATTGCATTATCCTGTCTCCTAGTACTGGACACAAAGTAGTCCCTTAACGTCGGACAGTGAATAAAATGTTTTTTTCTTGTAAATAACTGTATTTATTGTAGTAATTTTTTTTAAGTAATTTCAGGGAAAAAAGAACAAAGAAAGGCTGAAATTGAAGAGAAATAAAAAAGGTACGTGGAACCAAAACAGTTTACAATCTATGATAGATCAAAATTTGTTCAAAATTGGGTTTGAGAGCAGTTTCAAGTCAAAAATCTCAAAAAGCTTTTTACATGATAGGATATCGACATCGAACAATTGAGAAGTGTCGTTGCAACCAAAGATCCTTAGGCGTACATTACACGCTCATGCAGGCATCAATCAATTCCATCAATCATGATTGATAAAAAAATGGATGGTGACTGATAGGCGTACATTACGCGCTCATGCAGGCGTCAATCACTGCATTGCACGGTAGGTTAGTTTAGTTTAGTTTGCGACGGGCTGTTTTCCGCAACTCCACGTCTATGCGCGTATTTTGCGTGTGGGCAAGAATAATGTGATTATTCGAGCCATGAGATCACCCCGAAGAAGCTCAACAGTCCCTTGATGTTGCATGCAACTTCGGGGGAGTGATCCCGGCGTGCCGAGATGTTTAGCCCTGTACGTAGCGACCTCCGGACATTTCAGTAGCACGTGGGCCGCCGTTTCTTCCTCCCCCATACATGCCCTGCACAGGGGACTATCTGTAACACCTATAGTAAATAAACGTTTGTTAAAGGTGCCGCGTCCTGTGATAGCACTTGTTACTATCCTGATCTGCGGCTTGTTCAGTCTCATTAAAACTTTGGTTAAGCGACTGTTTATTACAGGTAGGGCCTCCCTAGCTTGTCTACAGTCTACTAGATTTTTCCAAAGCTGAGCGTGTTGATTAGTGAAGTGTCTACGTACCATTGAACGAACGTTACCAAAGGGGATTGGTATGATTGGTTCCGGCCCTATAGTGGCCAGAGCCGATCCTCTTCTGGCCAGTTCGTCCGCTGCATCGTTGCCTCTGGATCCACTGTGTCCCTTTATCCATTGCAAAGTCATATTGTTGTTTTTACATACCTCATTTAATCGTTGATGGCATTCATATATTAGTCCCGAGTTCAACCCATTGCAACTCAGAGCTTTTAGTACCGCCCTACTGTCGGTCAGTATTCTGATGGATTAATGACTTAACCTTCCTAGCATCTATTGCTATGGCCGCTTGAATGATACCCATACATTCCGCCTGAAAGACCGTGTTATAGGCACGGTAGGTTATTCGTCAATCACAACCGTGATTGTTGTAAAACTGACAGCCTGCATGAGCGTGTAATGTACGCCTTAGAGAGACACCTTCGAGGACGAACAAAGAACGCTAAGCAGAAGTTTTTCTTGGTGAAAACTAAATTTAAAATAGCAAAAGAAGAGAACGGGCAACAAACTAAAGATGTGAAGGCCAAAGTAAGAAGTGAAGAAAAAAGAAAACAGGCCAAAGGAGTAAAAGTCAAGGGAAAAAGTGGAGATAAAGCTAAGACAAAGCTAAGAAAAAGCAGTCCCTAACTGAGATGTCTGAAGAACTACTTACGTAGTGTACTTAAAGGACTACAACGAAGATTCGAAAATGTGCTCCAGCTGCCATAGATGAATATTCAGACGACTACATTTATGTAAATGATGCCGGATGTTTTAAAAATGTTCGATGTTAGGGGTTCGAAGTGAAGTCCGTCCTCTACTAGGCGCTATTTCCAGCAATTGCGTTTTTTTTTCACCAAAGTTTAATTTTTTTTTAATATGATCTATGCAGAAGTTACAGTATAAATGTCGATTTTAAAGTTTGTTGACTTAACTAATTAATAAGTAAACTAACATTTTTCGAAGTGGCTTTTATTTTATTTCCTGAAAGCTGGTGTATTTTATAACTAATAACAAAATACCTAGATAAAAACCCCAAACATTAAAAGTTTCAAACAAAACTTACAGCATGCAAGTTTTATAATTAACTTTTCTCAAAATGTTATTTTTGTTTGAAATTTCATGCAGTTAGTTTAATCGGTTTAGGGGACAATATTATGAGAATTTTCATGTGCTTACAAAACAAAGTAATAATATGACTTACCATAAACAGGAGTTTTCCCCGGCAACACCACAACAACCAGCTGCAGCTGCACAAATGTGGATTTCAGATACTTAAACATAGGTTCCACCTGGTCCGGTCCCGTAGCGTACTTGCAGAAGCAAGGTTGCCCAATTATGGGCATACCAGCATCATTTGAAATCTTCTGCAGTTGCTGTGTAAAGTTCCTGAGTTGCAATACAATAAACGATGCTTTTATTTTAGAACACCACAGAAAATTTATCAATTAATGAAATACAAGAGTAAAATCTAATACCATTGCTGATACATTAGTCAACACTTAGTGACAATAATATCTTCAATAATTCCAGAGAGGATATAATCACTATGTTTAAGGCAATTCCTTCATTTTAAAAAGTAAAGCACGCGCTTTTGTTATTTTTTAAAATTATAAATGCACTCAGCACACATCAAACATAATACATTATCCAATATATGAATATGTTGGTAAAATACAATAATATAATCTTTATTGTAGACCAAGGAAAGATTAACAAAACTAAAAATGCATACATTTAAGGAAACCAAAAGCAGGTATAATAATAATGCTATACAGAAGTTTGTTACAGACAACCCAAAAAAGGATTAAATAAAAGGGGAGAATGATTAATGGGATTAATAAATTTTCTTCGAAACTTTGACGGCGTTTTAAGCTAGCAAACAATAGTTCATTGCGCGTCCACTTTAAAAACACATTTAAAGTTAGAAAATTGAAAATCCGGACCACACTGCTAATAAATACAGCAACATATTAAGTTTCAAGTTTAACATATCTGTTTGTAAGGTCAAAATAAAAGCTTTTTTGCACATGAAAGTATGTATGATAATTAAAACAAGAAAAAATTGTCTGTCTGTTTGTTCCAGTTCCGAATCCGGTTCCGTTATCATCGGTTCCGAAACGCCTGAACCGATGATAACGGGACTTTCACTGGCAGATATCTGATGTTATAACAAGTAAATTAGGCTATTTTAATTTAAAAAAAAAAAGAATTGAGGTTCTGCGCAAAAAAAAATCAAATCCCATGAAATCCAATTGCAATAAATTTCACACGGACAAATCGGGGAACTGCTAGTGTTAAATAAAATGAGCGATTGATAAATTGTCTCGAAAATTATTATTTTGTATTACTGATGAACTAAATATCAGTTCCTGTTATGATTGTTCAAAAATAATTACAGTCCAGTGTAAGATGAGATGAGAAAAAATATCCACGGTATGTATGTCATAATATTAATAAATGTCAAATTTTAAAACATTTAAACTGAGAAGACAATTCGAAAAATGTAGAAAATCTATGACATGTTTCACATCACTTTTGCCGAGGCGACTAATGAACTATAAAAAATTATAGCCTGTTTAAAAAAGAAATAGCTTGCAAAAATAGATAAATGATATGAGCATTTTTAATATTTTCTCTGTCTTGGCTTATCAAAGGTGTGTGTAAGATGGGTGCTGAGAATGCACCAAAGGCCACGACGCGTAGCGTATTGTCGTATTTTTGAACTTTTTAAGTGAGAACAAGAAAAATGTCTTGGAAATGAAACTAACAAGAAGTTCCAGGTGTTCTATTGCCTTAAAACTCATGGCGACGGTATTTTTTGTATTCCTTAGCTCAATATTATTTGTAAATAATTTATTTACTTGAGTATATTTTACTTACTTGAGAGCATCTTCTCTAACAGTTCTTTGAGGAGCAAAACACGCAATGGCCCAGACTCGAATCTCAACTCCCATAAAGAACTGTTTTCCCCGCATGTCCCAAACTCCTTGGTTTGGCAAAGCTTGCTACAAAGAAAAATATTAAAAATCAAAATATTACTAAAAATAAAGAAACCAACTGCTGTAAAGTGTTATTAAATAACTTAAATGTTTTTCAAGATAGAAAAAATTCTTCAGTAAGAACATATTTCAAGCAAGAACTATGTTCAAACGAGCACACAGTCCACATGATGGTAAGTGGATGCTGTGGCCCATAAACATCTACATTTGTCCTCGATTATGAATCAAAACGCAAATGCGTTGTCACCCCTGAGGACTAAGATGGAATGCCTCGTTTCCAGTAAAAAAGGGTCTCCGGATCTCTACCTCCCCTTACGAAACAGAGCAGTATTAAGCTGCTATTTTATGTTGGTATTCTGTGAGAGCGTGGTCCTTCCCCGGTCGAGCCGACCTATTCGTGCCACAACCATAATATAGCTGCAGCGTGGCTCTATTACGTATAGATGAAGATATGATACTCTGAAGGCTACAGTCTTTTAAAGTTGACTCACATCGAATCATTAGCGCCACTTTGATTTCTTTTTTTACAGCAAATTATTGTTTCAGAGTAAAATATTTTGATAACACATAAATACCCAGATTATAAGTAATGGCAAAAATTTTTTTTTTGGTTCATCTATGTGGTCTATGTTAGATAAATCAAACGGTAAATAGAGCTCTCTCGCACCCAACGCAATTTCGAGCTTTGTTCGTGTACCATTATAAGGCAATCGATAATAAAAAAGGCGAAATCTATTCAGCGCGTTAATAGCTAAACATCTTCATCTCCAAAATGCGCTGTTTCTTTTTTTCTAAATATCTTTCATTGTCTTAAATAAGAGGTCTCAATTTCGTTAAATTTCGCTGTTTTCGCCTCATAAAAAACTATTTGTTTCATAGCAATAGCTGAAAATATTTATGCTATAATTATTTTTTTCTCAAGGGCAGGTGTTTAATTAGACAAATATTAAAAAATAATAATTTAAACCACTTTATTTCAAAATTAATAATTATTTCGATCGACCTATAAAATATTGACTTTATAAACAATAACTGCGGGCAATATTCCTTAGTAGCCGCTGAGCGGCTGTAGCGTTCAGACGTCTTGTCTGTGCCAAATTTTTGCACTTCCTCTCGCTCTAACATTCCTCTTTCTCTCTCTTTCCCTAATCTTGGTTGCGCATTGTTACGAATTGAAAGTTGCTCTACTTTATTATTTTTTGCATATAATTCTTTAAGGGTTTATAAATCATTTTGTATTTGTTTTATAACTTTTAATTTCGATATGGACCATAAACGTAAAAAATATGCTTGTACCAGAAAACGAAAATTGAAATCAAACGTTGAAGCAATGAACAGAAATAGAATTCAAAGGTAAGTTTTTTTGTGTTTCATAGTAAAATAGTTAACAACGTGCATATGTGTGAGCACTTGGTTAAATATTAGGTATATAATTAGGTAGGTACTTTTAAGAATAGTTTATAAATGAGTTGCATATTTGTACCCAGGTCCGCTGCTGGTTCTCGCCAACCATTGTCAGATGTTAGCATCATTGAACATCATTCAAGCCATTGCGAATAAATTAAAAAAAAGCGCTAAGTCGTCCGTCGATGCTGCTGTACAAGAATAGTAATTCATGCATATAGGTAAATGCTATACAAAGTTACATTATACTTTAATGAGAAACTATAAATATGTGTGATAGTGGACTGTTTGTACTTATATAGAAATTATTTTGAGTTTTTTTTAAATCTATTTTAGTATTTAGAACTACTTGACGTACTTGACGGATTTTCGATAGTGTCATCGACTTATTACGAAACCCTCAGTGCACGACTCATTCTAGCACTTGCCAGATTCATTTGAATAATCAATAATACGAGTACATGTTATACAGGTTCTAGATGATTATCTTTTAGAAACCTTTTCAACAAAACAACATAAATTATACAAACTTAAAATATTTTTTTTTGTGTAACGAATTTTGTAATAAAAGCATGGAACAAAAATAGATACGAGGTAGAAAATCTGTATGTGAAAATTTGTTAGCTAATTATCAATAATCCTGTATATTAGATAAATTGATACTGGAAAATCTTAGTAGAGCAACTTTCCACGCTACGGCCAGAAAGATAACTGCGGTGGCGGTACATGAAGTGGCGGGGCAGGGAGGGTGTAGATGTGTCACCAGAACGCAATTTTTCTGTTTTGCTCTGAAAGACTGGGCTCTGAATATTAAATAAATCCGGCGACACCTCAATCTCACGTCATAAACGAATGAATAAACATATGTATATATTTAATTAATTCATTCATTTCAAACACGGATTACCCCCTAATAGATTCCGCATACAGGGCCACAAACGCGCGCAACACATACTTGCTGTAGCTATCATATGAAGTGACGCTAAGAATCACGATATCATTGTCGACCAGGTTTGTGACCCATAGGCACGTCCAAATTTTTGAAAATTTAAAAATAATTTTGTATCCAAAATACATTACAAATGGCTTCCTATGTAGTAAAATGTTGTGGCAAGTCAGCTAAGACATCCAGTTATCAAAACGATGGCAAATAATTCATCGGTAAGTAAATTCTATTCTTATCACATTAACCTATTTGAAATGCACCGGAATTCAACTTACACTGGAAATAATGTTGCAAAGTGATATCATTTGAACACCCGTTGATGTCTTTTTGAAATATTCCTTTCACTCATTACGTAAATTAAAGTAGTTGTCTTTGTCTAATGACAGCACATGTAACGATAGTGTTGTGATTTAAAGTCGATATTTGTTTGGTCATCGTTTACTTTTTTTGTAGTCATTATTTTATACAAATAGTGGTGTATAATTGTGGCACCATATAGGTTTTCTAAATGCCCCAAAAAGAAAAGATGTGGATCGACGCTACTTGTTGAGGGGAACAATGGTTTCCCACCAAAAATAGTGTGCTTTGCTCAAGACTCTTCACAGTACACAATCTTCATATTATGAAAAACCATAGAAGGCTGTTGGATTCCAGTATACCATCTCTATACTTGCCAGTTTTAGTATGGACTTTTACATTAAAAAAAAGTATAATACCAATGGTGATTACACAATAAGTAATAGCATTAAGTGGTTGATTGAAACGTGATATTCTAATATTTAGGCGAATGTTACACGTCGAAATTAAACTATTTTTAATGGATTTATAAACCATAAAACAAGTGAAAGTTATAATGTGATTATTGTTATTCTAGTGTTACATGAACTTCAGTAATATCCTATTATTATTATTAAGTACATCTAAAATTGAAACACGTACCGTATGGTTTTTTAATTAATAATACTACTTTTAGGTACAACACTTGGCAAAAATACTGTCACCACCGAAAGGACATACCAGAGCACATACAAAGGATTCACACCATTTTGTTAGTGAGATAAAAGACCTACATCTCGCTGACAATGAAACTATGGTCAGTTTTGGTGTTCAGTCACTATTCACATGCCTACCTATTGAAGACTGGTTCTCAATTGTAACTAGGAAGCTACAAGATAACAACATGCCTGCAGAATATGCAGTATTACTCAAACACTGCTTCACATCTGGGAATGGCAGAAGGAAGAGTTCTACAAGCAAGTTGATGGTGTGGCGATGGGCTCACCTGTATTTCCTATAGTTGCAGACATATATCATGGATAACTTTGAGGAGAAACCCTTCTCACTGCTCCTATAAATCCAAGATTCTACAAGCGGTACATAGACGAGACTTTCACAGTTTTACCATCTGACAAAACAACTGCATTTTTAGACAACCTTAACTCCATAAGCTTTAAAATACAAATCACAATGGAGTTAGAAGCAAATAATACTTTAGCTTACCTAGATGTTTTAGTCATCCGAAATCCTGATAACACTATTGGTCATACTATGTATGGGAAAAAGGCCTATACCAACCGATATTTAAATGGTGAATCTCACTATCATATTTCATAGTTTGCTACTGTGGGTAAATATTTGTTTCAGAGAGCACAAGGGATCTGTGACAGAATACATCTGGCCGCCGAGCTTCAGCATGTCAAGCAAGTATTGCAAGACAACTAGCTTTGGGTCCCAAGCCGGCCACAGTCGGTGGATGGGTGCTGCGATCTACTTGGGATCCTATAATTAACAAAATCTATCCAAACCCAAGCATACCACTGCTAGTTTTCAAAATACTGTAAGCTCGTTTTATGTAGATCGGGTCCAAAAATCATATTCAAAAACTGTGACCATAAGTTAATTAAACGCGATAAAATCCATATAGTTATATATGTAGTTTCATTCGATGTGTAGTGTTCGCGTAAATTTAAGAAATCATTAGATTACATGTACAAATTACATATATATATATATATATATATATATATAATGTTTTATTTCTTTAATGAATTTCAAATAAAAATTGGTCAATTAATTTATTAATCAATAATCAATAAATCCCAAATTTATCGATCAACGTCCCAACCCTGTCCCTCTGTTGCTCGTTCAACCTTGAATTATCCAATACCACAGCGCATTTGACACGTCCCCCGCAACTCGAATTTTGGTGAAATCGAAACAGAACAAATATTCCATGATGCGGTATCTATTAGGAGGTAATCTGTGACTTCAAACAATCTATCAAAATTACACTGCTGAACATAGGCTTCCCCCATAGATGCCTCATAGGGCAGGTATTTACAGTAGTAGTCACAACAATAGTTCTACCCTAAAACTGAGCTCTATGTATTACTTTCTTATATCAATAGAGAAAATTGAGAAGTTAAATGGTGTAATAAACTATACAAACATATGCCTTTGTTTTTTCCCTCCGGATAATAATTACGTAACAGCAAATATTTTCTATGATGAAATATATAATCTACTACTGTCGTGTTCCTGTTTCGTTTTTTTCCAATTATTTGTAGGCCATATAAATACTTGTTCCGTATGGAATTCAAACCTGCGGCCCTCAGCGCTGCACCTGATTGCTAAGCCACGGAGCTGTCAGGCTGTTTGTTGATCTTAGTTTCGGAGGAGGAAAAGGTGAATAAGAAAGAGTTAGTGCTTATAGCTATAGACTTATAAAATCTATTCTTAAACTTCTTTTACAGATATCCTCTTACGATTAATTATTCATAATAAAATTTACCCATTATTTTATGTAAATAAGAACAGGGAGACAAAATTTTTTATTAAGTAGTATTTTAAGGCTGAACAAGCCACAGATAAGGATAGTTACAAGTGCTATCACAGGACATGGCTCATTTAACAAACATTTGTTTACCATAGGTAGAGGAAGAAACGGCGGCTCACATGTTGTTGACATGTCCAGAAGTCGCTTCATACAGGGCTAAACATCTCGGCACGCCGGGATCGCTCCCCGAAGTTGCTTGCAACATCAAAGGACTGTTGAACTTCTTCGGGGAGATATCACGGCTCGAATAATCACATTAATCCTGCCCACACGCAAAATACGCGCTTAGATGTAGAGTTGCGAAAAACAACTCGTCGTAAACTAAACTACAAATAAATAAAATTGAAGTGTCTGTTCGTATTGTCAAAATAACAGCTTTTTAATAAGTGCATATGACATCATATACGATACTTATAACAAAAAAACAATTTTTTAAATTTCTGTACGTCTTTCTGTATGTCTGTTTGTTCTGGCTAATCTCTGAAATGGCAGAACCAATTTAGACGGGACTTTCACTGGCTGATAGCCGATGTTATAAGGACTAACTTAGGCTACTTTCATTTTGGAAAAATAATTAGTGTTTCGCGCAAAAAATTAAAACCCAAGAAAAATCCAATCGTTATAATTTAGAAGTCGCAGGGAACAGCTAGTATACAATAAGACAAAGCAATGAAAATGCAAAACATTTAGATGTTTGTACTAACTTGTCCGCCAAGGGAAGAAACACGTCCACCATACTGAAGTTTTGGTGGTGGAAGTACACGTCCACGCACCTCCATCATATTGTTGGATATTGTTAATCCAAACTCTTTAACATAGAGATCCGTATTGAAGTTTGCCCGACGTACCAAGTTGTTGATTTCACGCTCCCTGAAGTGAAATTTTTAAATGTCCTTTATTTACTATCTATACCATATTAAAATTACCTATAACAAGTCACCTATCTTAGTCATGAAATTATTCAATATATCATAAAACATTCAGTGTTTTATAACCAATTATAAAAATCCATATGCTGCTAATTACAGAATAGTTATAGGCCCCCACTAGATGGAGTGCATAAAAATAGCAATTATAACATCATCATCATTACAGCCCTTCACAGGTCCACTGATGAACATAGGCCTCCCCCAAGTAACGCCACAAAGCACGGTCCTGAGCCACCTGCATCCATCGACTTCCTGCATATCTTACCAGGTTGTTACTCCATCTAGTAGGGGGTCGCCCTACACTATGCCTACCGGTACGAGGCTGCCACTCGAGAACCTTTCTTCCCCATCGGTTATCGGTTCTTCGAGCTATATGGCCGGGCCATTGCCACTTCAGCTTACTAATCCGTTGGGCTATGCCGGTCACTCTGGTTTTACCGCGGATATCCTCATTTCTGAGTCTATCTCTCCATAGCTCGCTGAGCGACCTTGAGCGTCCTCATACGGCCAGCAGTGAAGGACCAGGTCTCAGATCCGCAAGTCATCACTGGCAACACGCACTGGTTGTACAATCTAGTTTTCAGAGATTGAGGTATACCTGACGAGAAGATGTGTCGTAACTACCCGAACGCTGTCCAGCCGAGTTGAATCCGTCGATTGACCTCTCGGTCGAAGTTGGACTTACCTAGTCGGACTATTTGTCCCAGGTAAAGGTACTCGTCAACAACTTCGAGCATAGTGCCCCCAACAACTACCGGCATAGGTGTGACATGGACATTAAATATGATCTTTATTTTGTCCATGTTCATCTTAAGACCTATCCGTTGGGAGACACCATTGAGGTCATTGAGCATAGTGCTTAGGTCCTCCAGCAATTCTGCCATAAGGATAGTCCTTCGTCGTCGGCAAATCGAAGGTGAGTGATATACTCGCCATTGATGTTAATACTGTATCCTTTCCAGTCCAGTAGCTTGAAAACGTCTTCCAATGCAACAGTGAAGAGTTTCGGGGATATAACGTCGTTTCGAACTCTGGTTCTGTACTCGGATAGCCATCATAGCACTACTGTACAAACACTTCAGTACTTCGATATACCGACAGTCAACTTGGCACCGCTGAAGGGACTGTAGTACCGCCCAAATTTCGACGGAATCAAAGGCTTTCTCATAGTCCACATATGCCAGGCAAAGTGGCAGATTGTACTCTTCGGTCTTCTGTACAATCTGCCGCAGGGTATGTATGTGGTCTACGGTACTGAAGCCTTTTCGGAAACCGGCTTGTTCGGGAGGCTGGAAGTCGTCGAGTCTGCATGCTAGACGATTCGTAATGACTCGAAAACAGCACGTAGACGCGGCTCAGAAGGGAAATCGGTCGGTAGTTCTTCAAGAGAGCATTGTCGCCTTTCTTAAATAACAAGACCACCGCACTTCTGCTCCACGCCTCCGGAGTAGTGCCACCATGGAGGATGAAATTGAAGAGCTTCTGAAGGACTTCAAATACCGGTGTTCCACCCGCTTTCAGGAGCTCCGCTGTAATTCCATCCTCGCCTGGGGCCCTGCCGTTTTTAAGGTGCTGGAGAGTCATTCTAATCTCGCTCAGACTGACGTCCGGGATATTATCGGAATAGTGTCGGATAAGACTTGCTCTTGGATCGTTACTCACACTTGCGTGTGGCTCCAACGATGATGTGTACAGCTGCCTATAGAACCTCTCAATCTCACTCAAAATCTCACAAACACTCAGTCTTCAGCTTTGACAGTTGGCTCTTTCTGGCAGACAATCTCTGGCAAAGACTTTGGAGCCCTGATTCCGCTCGATCGCTTCTTTAATAGGAGCAGTATTAAAGTTGCGTAAGTCTCGCCGCATGCATTTGGAGATCTGTCTGTTCAGTTGCCTGTATGCTGTCAAATCTGTTGACGATTGCAGCCTCATCTCCCGTCTAACAGCCATGAGATTATGAGTGTGATTGGAGAGTTTTTGTTCTTCTGCGGCGGGTCTTGCAGAACTTAGCTCCGACCGCTGGGGAAGAAAAATTTTCAAGCGGCAGCCTCGTGGCAGTAAGAGAAGTGGTATTGGGCATGTAGATAATAGAAGGAGTGACAACCTGGTAAGAAATGCAGGAAGTCGTAAGCTGCAGGGATGCAAGTGACTCAGAACTGGACTTGCGATATTACAGGGGAAGGCCTATGTTCAGTATTGAAGTTTTGATGGGCTGTAATTATGATGATGGTGATGGTGATGATGATGATAATAATTGGCTATTTTTAATTAAAACTTGTTTATAGAAAACAACCCACCTGTCAGGGGCAGATCGGGCAGTTGCTTTAATCATAGTGGAAGTTTGCATGTCTGTTAATTTTTTAATACATCTCTGTCCAGGCACAATATTACAGACTTCTAAAGGCAAATATGTGTGCTTGTGCTCTTGACCCACTTGAAGACAGGGCAAGTGAGGATATCTGAGTTTCATCTTATACTTATCCAAGAAATATTTGGCTACTGTACACTCTACAGTCTGTCCATTATCTAATTGTAGTGGAAAGCTGTAATAATCAATTAATTGTCATTTACATTACAAAATTACATATATTAAAATAAGTTGTTTATCTACTATTGCATCAAGAATTAGCATATATAAAAGGTGGTAAGACTTCTTTTCTGCCTTGCTTTCCTTCTAAGGAGGTCTAAGTAGGGTATCAAGAATACAAACAACTGTATTCCAGGTTGAAGTTTAAGATACCATGTATAACCCCCAGAGCATGCATGGGAGAGAATGAAACGGCGGCTCACATGTTGCTGACATGTCCAGAAGTCGGTTCATACAGGGCTAAACATCTCGGCACGCCGGGATCGCTCTCCCGAAGTTGCTTGCAACATCAAAGTACTGTTGAACTTCTTCGGTGAAATATCATGGCTCGAATAACCACATTATTCCTGCCCACACGCAAAATACGCGCTTAGACGTGGAGTTGCGGAAAACAGCCCATCGTAAACTAAACTAAACTACCATGTATAATAACAGGCTGTGAGGCAGTTCAACTTAATTTCAAGTTAGTCTCCTTTATTTTATGGTTTTTACAGTTATTTGTGGGCTGCAATAGCACTATACTATTTGATAGGTTGTAAGTTTTTTTGTTACTGTATTATATAAAAAATATTGTCACGGTGTTACTTACGACTGCATTTGAGCAGGTCTGCGTGTAACATTGCACACTCTATATTTACGCTTCATTGTTCCACAGTGTGTGATTTCAATCTTGAGTCCTTTGATTTCTTTAGTAAACTTAACACGCTGTGAATCTGTCAGGGGCTTTCTTTGGTCATTTATGTCTCTTATATCTAATACTTCACACATGAATTCTATTACAGGTTGAGCTTTATAAAAAGCAGTTGCAGACACTGTAATTTAAGGTAATTAAATTTAATTAATTGTAAGGTATTGATCATTACATTTTCAATACAACATTCACTAATGTAACAAAGTAAAAAAGGTTTTTATCTAATTATATAATTACCATCAATATTAAGCATCATTTTCCATTGACTTGGCCGCACAGACTGATGGAAACCAAACCACACCTCCCTGCCCCCACCCAGTGGATGGTAATATCCTTCCGGAGAGGAAAAGAATGATCGCCCAACAGGTGTATACATCATTGATGGTAAATGTCTCATAACTACATCTAATGCTAATATAGCATCATATGGAATTTGTCTTGTACGACCTTCTAAAGCTTCTTCCAAGGCAAATAGTGACACCTGGAATAAATAAAATGCAGTCATTAATAATAAATTAAATAAATTCAAAAATATTGTAAAAAACTTTCACAAAGTTTTTTATTTATTTATTCATTATTGTTCACACCTTAAGGAAGATCTACTGCATTAAGCAGTGTACAGATAAATCATAAATAAGGATTCTTGATTATAACTGACTTGTTAAATTTATTACCAGGAAAAAAACAGAATCGCTTTAGAGAAAGGCTCTAGATCAACAGTTAGGAAAAGAGACCAGTATTACTGTAACCTAAAAGATATATTGTGATCGCTGCTATGGCTATAGTTCACTGCTAAACCTTATGTCTTCAATGAATAAAAGGAGTTGCTTAGCTATGAGCAATTTTACTTCTTCTGAGTGGAGTAAATAGTTTCTCAGATGAGTGTTATGTTTGCGCATTAAGGGTCCGCAATCAGTTAGGATATGCAGGCATTTCCTCCATTATGGAACAGAACCGGCACATCCTTGAGGTGCTTAGTCCCAGGATAGACATGTGCTTTTTTTAAGACAACAGTGTCCAGTTAGGGCTCTTGCTAAAAAATAATATATATAACAATAATAATAATAAGCCGTTTTAATCTGAACTTAAAGTAAAAAAAATAATATAACCTAGATATATTATTCTAATTGCCCAATTCTCCAACCCATTATCACCACAGCCATCTTTTTTAACTCTTAATACAACATTATATGAATCTCATTCTATAATTTTCCAACTAAATTTACTTTACATTCCTTAATTACATTTTATTATTATCTTTCTCTCCAAAAGTGCATTTTAATTCCATATGTTGAAACAAATATCCTTTAAAACTATGAGGTGAGGGAACTCATTTTTTATGTACCACCCTCTTACCTATTTGCAGTATTGTATCCAGATCTTTAGGCTTTGTGAGACAGTCCATCTTAGTCATTATTCATCATCAAAACAAGTAATCTGGAGCCTTCTAAGTTAGTAGTCCTTAGGCTGCAGTAACCACTTACCATCAAGTGGACTGTAAGTTCATTTGTCACCTCAGTTCCATTAAAACACTATGATATTATAAAACTGAAATATTGAATAGCATAAAACTTAAAATACCTGAGCAACCCACTTAATGGTGACACGGAAAACTCTGTCTTTTCCTTCACCTGGTAATATAACTTCTAACTCTACCCTGTCATTGCCAATCGGTAGTGGGTCCCTTGTATATAAATTATTTCTGCCATCAAATACTGGTTTCAGTGTACCAAATATTTTATTGTAACAATGAACCATAGTTTCAACAATTTCTCTATTAACCTGCAAAATAGTCATATTATTTTATAACAATAAACAAAATAATGCAAATTTAAAAAAACAATTTAACTTATTAAAGTAGAAGATTCTTGCCATACATACCTTTCTAGGACACTTATCAGGCTGTATATTGACATCATAATGGTGCACAAAGCCTCTAGGCATTGATATTTGAAAATGATTTGCTCTAAGCATTATCGGTCTGCCTTCATGACCGAGGTTGGGGCGGCGGGGACATGTTAAAACTGGCAAATCAGGAGGAGGTGCTGCGGCTGGAGGTACGAGTGCCATAGGACCTGCACCACCTGCGACTGCAGGCGGAGCTCCAGTAGCGGGAGAGCTAGTCGGAGCACCAGGAGTTGCCGTTGTAGCACTTGCTGGCGCTGTCACAGCACCAGTCACGCCTACTGCACCAGCACTCGTCTCCCCCGTTGGAGCTTCATGATTAGACAAGAAATTTTTACCATACTTCATTTATTATTTAATGTATAATACACAGTTTAGGATATTTCATAATTGGTATGCTTTCTAGTATTTATGTCAAACAAAGGAATATTATGCCTTTACAATTCTTACATATGACAAAATTGAACTTGGTACTTACGTTGGCCAACGGGGTACATTTTAATAGATACTTATATATATACAGGAAATTAAAATTTTAGTAATATACAGCTTTTCGTGTTGAAATTGTAGCAATGTGCTCAAATAGATGTGGCTATAACTGCAATTTTATGCTGCACCTTGACGTTTGTTGTTGCTTTTTGACATAGGCAAAGATAATATAATAGTTTCATTAATTTAAAGTTGTGTTGGCTATAAGGCCATTAGCCAAAAAGCTAGATCGTACGCTGTAATACATAGAGGATATGTGAATAAATGCTTAGCGACAGTTGTACGATTCGATCTAAAGTTGTTCTAAACGACTATAAATCAATAGTATGCTACAGACTATAAGCTATTAATTTCTAGCGCGCTATTAAATACGCTATGTTATAGCGCGCTATTAAATACGCTATATATAATGCGCGCTATTTATAAGAGAGCGTGTAAGAGGCCGGCAAGCGCGTTAAGTTTTGCAGCACGCTATATCTCGTAGCACGTTACATTACAAGTCGTTGATTGGATAGACCACGTGCTATGTAAGAACATTATTTCGTAATAAGTCCCATTTTAAACTAAAATAAAATAAAGCGGTAGAGAAAAACCAACGAACGTTTTTTCATACTTTTCAGGCTTACGACTTTCTATAATCCTAAAAATATTTTTAAGGCGTGTACTTTTTAAAAATAAATATAATTAATTATTTCTTATTATAATTAATGTAAATGTTATTTTAACCTTAATATAAATTATAAACCAAATAAAGGTGTATTTAAAAGTTTATTGATTGTATTTATAAAATCAACTATTTACATAGACAATTATATACATGTTGGTGTCTATATTTTATATATATTTAAAACATTAGTGTGGCTTCTTTTATAGCAGACAACTGTGTTCTTCGATCACTTATAAATATACAGTATATACTAACTAAACAACGTCTAACACTAAATTAGGTCGCGCGCGATGAATAGCGTGCTACTAGATCAAATTTGCGTCACATGTCCTCTCCCAACAGCGCTGCTGCTAGAACTAGTTGCCGCTAGATATTAATACTTAATAGCGCCAAAGCGCCATAGCGCAATAGCGCCATTGCGCAATAGCGCCATGGCGACTACTTACATAACACGCGTTATGTGTTATGGAAAGATAGCGCACTATAATATGGCGCTGTGAGCTATATAAACCACCATTAATTCGATCGTATGACCCATCTCACGAACTTCAGTCGTATGCGAATGCGACATTTGATTGATTGGTAGAGCAGTCCGTGCGCCCAAGATCATGTAGAAGGTTGGATGAAAATTTAATCGGACCAACTTTATATTAATATTTATCAATCAAAGAACAATTGACAGCCACTCAAACAGTTCAAGTGCAGTGAGTGGTCATTTAAATTAAAGCCTACAAACTCTTAGACTACTTACTACTAGTTAGACTTTTGCATATAGGGTGAAATAAGGAGTCGTGTTTGCGTCATAGACATCCAGAATTATGAAGAATCACGGAAGTTAAAAGTGATGAAGCACGGCACGGCATGAGGATAGGAGTATAGCACACAAATGCATTCTCTATTCCTTCACTCTCATAGTCCTATGGAACTGAAATCCGACTCGATCGGTATCAGGCGCAGGACAAACGGCTTTGCGAGCTTTCTTAAGTACTCAGTGACCTCATGATCAGCAGTCGCTCTTATGACCACTATACCAACGAGGAAGTCATTCAGACTGGTTAAAGCAATAACGATAACGATGATGATAATGATGATGACGAAGTTGATAGTAATGAGGATGACGAAGATGATGATGCTGAATGCTGATGACGACGACACAAACAGTTTTTGTTTTCTTATTTAATACGATTACTTTTTCTGAGTTAACATTGGGTTTCGTAAGAGTCGACTATGTTTGGTAGTCAACTTGAAAAAGGAAGGGATGCAATAATTTTGATGCGGCTCATTGCGAATTTTTAGAATATTTTGCTCAAACAAGCTTACAAAATATTACACACTGGTACACTGAAACCAGTATTTGATGGCAGAAATAATTTATATACAAGGGACCCACTACCGATTGGCAATGACAGGGTAGAGTTAGAAGTTATATTACCAGGTGAAGGAAAAGACAGAGTTTTCCGTGTCACCATTAAGTGGGTTGCTCAGGTATTTTAAGTTTTATGCCATTCAATATTTCAGTTTTATAATATCATAGTGTTTTAATGGAACTGAGGTGACAAATGAACTTACAGTCCACTTGATGGTAAGTGGTTACTGCAGCCTAAGGACTACTAACTTAGAAGGCTCCAGATTACTTCCGCCGCTTGTAGAGTGCGCCGCATGAGTTGGACAAAAAATATGAACACAGACGCATTGCGGGCGTACTTTTGGGCGAAAGGGGAAGAAACTGCAGGGATAGCGTATTGCGCTCGGACGCATTGCTTTTTTGCTGAGCTGGAGATGTCTATTCCCGTCACGGAACAAAACCTGGCAGACCGAGTTCAGTACATCATGCGCTCGAAAATATTTGATGATGCCGAGCTCGAACGACTACGACGTGAGGCTATTCCCTCATCTAATAAATTGGCTATGACTAGGGATGCGGCTGCTCAGGCGACAGACCAGCATCTACGCGTCGAAGGTACCATGGATCTTCCAGTTGTGGTTGATTCGGACGATTATGAAATGGTCTCCCACGAACTAGAGCAAATGATGAGCATACTGAAAGAGGCGTTTTTGGAAACGCGCAGCATGCCTTTCGAAAATTGACCGTGACTTCCCCGCATACCCCTAAGCAAGTGAAATCGGGCTGTCGTAAGGGCTCTTAACCCTATTCTGGTGACCTATTTGGAAGCCAGCTGGGACCTTTGCGAGACGGACTCAATTCTTTTTGGCGCCACAGTGGCAGTTTGCCGTATTATTAGAACCAAACTTCCCATTGCTGGACGCGCTACTAAACAAAGTAGCGCGATCCCAACCTGGAGAAAAAGAATTGAGGACCGTATCGCAAAGGCAAGGGCCGTTATCGGCAGATTTTAGAGAACTGCTAATTCAACATTTTGGAGACCCTAGGAGTGAAGAATGTATTGCTATAGAACTTGAAGGTTTGCGTATCCGAAACAACGAGTCGTATTTAGATTTCTGTAATAGGATCCAATCCGTTCGTAGTGTTTTAATATCGAAAGTAAATAGATTAACCGATCCAAATGTAAAGAGTAGCAAAATTATTATATATAATAAGACATCTTTAAATGTCTTTTTGTATAATTTGCCAGAAAATATGGTGTGAATTGTACGCTTAAAAGCGCCCAGTACACTAGAAGAGGCTTTAAGCGTGGTCATGGAAGAAGTCAACTTCCATGAGCAGTATACCTTGCGTAATAAAATGTATAGTAATCCTAGAAATAAACCAACGCCACCCAGTTTACCAAATAATAACCCTATGTTAAAATTCGGTACAAATAATTTTAATTCAATGGCACCAATGGGCTATAAACCCGAATTAACCCCTAACAAATTTAACTTTGGACTTCCGCAGGGGTCACAATCAAAATTACCTCAATTTAATAATAATCAACAAAATTTTGGATACCGCCCACAACAATTTGGCATCCGCCCGCAACAATTTGGTATAAGCCCGCAACAGTTTAATATGCGCCCACAACAATTTAATATGCGTCCCCAACAGTTCGGAATGCAACCACAAACATTTAATAAACCTCAACAATTCGGTATGCGCCCACAACAATTTGGTATGCGCCCACAACCATTTGGAAACCAACAACAAAACTTTTATAAGCCCCAACAATTTGGTTACAAGCCTCAGTTAAATAAAAATTAATACACTGGGCCCAGTGACGTCACAATGCGAACGGCACCACCCCTTAAAACAAATCAACAAGGCTTTCAGTTAAATGAACTCGACCTTGATAATACGTATTACGATGATGCGTGCGGCGATGTGTACCCAATTTCTTATGATAACTGCTGCTATGAGGAGTACTCAAGCAGTGGCCTTAATGTCCCCGAGCTCGATTATTATGAAAATGAATATCCGACAATAATTCCTGAAGTACACATGGCGTCCCAACCAATATGGACGACAAGGATTTTCAGGTCGAAGCCTCGGAACCTACGAGAAAATAGAGTTAAATTGTAGTACTAATTTGAGATTGCCGTTTATTTATATACCGGAAATCGACTCCAAATTTATGATTGATACGGGTAGTACGCGATCATTCATTAGTCCATCAAAAGCTTATAAGTACTTTCCAGATTACTTAAGTCACGAACTATTCGAAGTCATTAGCACACATGCATCGAGCGGACATGATCAAGTTATTCAAATCCCGTCTTTACCAATTTTCAACTGTAATGATATTCATAAACTATACATTTACAATGTCGACTCTAGGTACGATGGCTTAATTGGGAATGATATACTTTGCAGCCTTAGAAGCAGTAATAGATTTAAAAAACGAGATTCTTAAAACTAAAACTACCGTAATACCTATAACACATAGTAAATCTTCTTACGTTTTGGAGTTATCTCCCCGTTCCGAGCAGAGAGTCAAACTCCAAACAAATTTATATTCAGGTAATGCTGTAATCGATTACAAAGAATTCTGTAAGGATGTGCGAATGCCTAGTGCGTTAGTGAGATGTAAGGATGGTTATACGACTACAGTAATCCAGAATACCTTAGATATACCGATAAAATTAACTATTAAAAGACCATTGAATGTAGAAGCATATGAAGAGAGTAAAGCGACTAGATGTGTAGTTAACCATATTACAGATATATCAGATATTGAAGTAGATAAAATATTAAAGCAAAATTTAGAGAAATTACGCTTAGACCACACGTCGGAAGAAGAAAAAAAATTGATATACCACTTTTGTAGAGAATATAAAGATATTTTTTATAGCGATCAAATATCTTTATCTTTTGCTAATGAAGTCAAACACTATATTAGAACAAAAAACGAAGACCCTATCTATATCAAACCCTATAGGCAACCT